TCATTAACCTACAAGGGAATCCACATAAGGCTCACAGCAGATTTCTCAACAGAAATATTTCAAGGCAGAAGAAAGTAACATGATGTTCTCAAAGTAATAAAAACAAAAACCTAAAACCAGCACTGCCTTATCAAGGAAGTCTATCATTTAAAATTGAAAGTGAAATAAACAGTTTCCAAGACAAAAGAACGCTAACAGAGTTCACTATCACCAAACCAGCATTGCAAGGAATAGTGAAAGGACTGTTTTAAGAAAAAGAAGAAATATTGATAGAAAGTTACTTTGGCATAAAGGAGGAAAATGGCATTAAATAAGTATATGTCAATAGTAACCTTAAATGTAAATGGAACAAATACTCTTATCAAAAAGACATAGGGTAGCTGAATGGATGGGAAAACAAGAACAAAATATATGCTGTTTACAAGGGACCAGTATGAGAGCAAGAGTTTCACACAGGTTAAAAGTGAAAGGATGGAAAAAATATTCCATTTAAATGGAAATGAAAGAAAAGCTGGAGTGGCAACACTTATTTCAGACAAAATAGACTTCAAAATAAAGACCATAACAAGAGACAAAGATGGTCGCTACATAATACTAAAGGGATCAATCCAACAGGAGGAAATAACCCATATAAACATATATGAACCCAATATAAGAGCACATAAATATATAAAAATTTTTTGGTGGACTTTAAGGGGAAGATAGATAGCTACATAATCATAATGGGGAACATTTACACCCCACTGTTATCACTGGACTGATTATCAAGAGAAAAAATCGACAGTGAAACAGAGACCTTAAATGATGCACTATATCTAATGGATTTAATTGACATTTACAAAACATTTTTTGCCAATGTAGCAGAATACACATTCTTCTCAAGTGCACATGGAACATTCTCAAAGACAGAACACATGTTAGGGCACAAAGCAAGTCTCTACAAGTTCAAGATTGAAATCATACCAATCATCCTCTCAGATCGCAAGTGAATGAATCTAGAAATCAACCATTATAGAGAAACTCAAAAAAATTCAAACACATTGAGTCTAATTACCATGTTATTAAATAATAAACGAGATGTCAATGAGATGAATGAAGAAATAAAAAATGCCCTGGAAAAAAACAAAAATGAACAGACAACAACCGAAAAACTAAGGGACAGAGTGAAAGCAGACCTGAGAGAAAAATTCATAGTAGTGCAGGCATACATCAAGAAACAAGAAAAAGCTCTACTAAATCATCTAACACAACAACTAAAAGAATTGGATAGAGAACTGCAAGAAAAGACCCAACAACGTAGAAGGAAGGAAATAATAAAGATCAGAACAGAAGTTGACATAGAGACAAAAAAAAAAATACAAAAGTTCAATGAAACCAAGAACTGATTCTTTGAAAAGATAAATAAGATTGATGAATCTTTAGCCAAACTCACCAAGAAACAAAGATAGAGGACCCAAACAAATAAAATAAAAAATGAAAGAGGCTATATAACATCTTACCCAAGAGAAATACAAAGCATCTTGAGAATATACTATGAACAACTATGTGCCAATAAACTGGACAACATGGGTAAATGGAAAGGTTATTACAAACATACAATCTCCCGAAGCTGAATCAGGAAGAATCACAAAATCTAACACTAGGCCTATAACAACCAATGAAATTGAAACAGTAATCAAAAATCTCCCAGAAAAAAAACCCAGATTGGTTTTATCAAGCATTCAAAGAAGAATTAACACGTATTCTACTCAAACTATTCCAGAAAATTCAAGAGGGGTGAAAACTCCTAAACTCTTTTAATGAGGCAAACATTATCTTAAACCCCAAACCAGATAAAGACACTACAAAGAAAGAAAATTACAGGCCAATATCCCTGGTGAACATAGATACTAAAATCCTCAACAAAATACTAGCAATCTGGATCCAGCAATACATGAAAAAGATCATACACCATGATCAAGTTGGATTTATTCCCAGGAAGTAAGGCTGGTATAACATACACATATCAATAAATGTGATACATCACATAAACAAAATGAAGGAGAAATATCATATGATCTTATCAATATTTGCAGAAAAAGCATTTGACAAAATCCAGCACCCATTTCTGATAATAACTCTAAACAATATGGGAATAGAGGGAATATAGCTCAACACGATAAAGACCATATTCCACAAGCCTATAGACAACATCCAACTCAATGGTCAAAAACTAAAACCATTTTCCTTAAAAATATGAACAAGACAAGGTGGTCTGCTTTCACCATTCTTATTCAACATAGTAATGGAATTCCTTGCCACAGCCATCAGACAGGAAGAAAACATAAATATTATCCAAATTAGAAAGGATGAAGTAAAACTGTCATTATTTGCAGATGACATGATATTGTACATAAAAAACCCTAAAGACTCCATCAAAGTATACTAGATATGATAAATGAATTCGGCAAGGTGGTTGGACACAAAATTAGCATCCAAAAATCAATGCCATTTTTATGCACAAAATATGAACACTTAGAATATGAAACTGAAAAAACAATACCGTTTACCATTGTGACTAAAAAAATAAAATACTTAGGAATAAACTCAACCAAGGATGAAAAAGACCTGCATTGGAAAACTACAGGACACTGAAAAAAAAAAAAAATAGAGGAAGATATAAACAAGTGGAAGAGTATACCATGCTCATGGATTGGAAGACTTAATATAATTAAAATATCCATACTACCTAAAGCAATATTGATTCAATGAAATTCCTATTAAAACAGAGTAAGTCTTATAGATGCAAAGAACAGACTGATGGTTGCCAGAGGGGAGGCAGATTGGGGGACTGGGTGAAAAAATTTGAAGGGATTGAGAAGTACAGATAAGTAGTTACACAACAGTCATGAGGATGTGAAGTACAGCATAGAAAATATAGTTAACAATATTGTAATAACTATATATGGTGCCAGGTGGGTACTTGAAATATCAGGGTAAATATTTGGTAAAGTATATGATTGGCGACTATACTGTACGCCTGAAACCAATACAAGATAATATTGAGTGTAAACTGTAAATGAAAAATAAATTTAAAAAATTATAAAGTTAAAGTAAAAAACAATTTCATCAGGTTCATCCTAATGACCAGCATGATCTAACCTCTGGTAACCTTTCCTTGGTCCTGGGAATCCTCATCAATCATGTAAGCATCCCACTATGGTACAGAATGTTTTGTGTAAAGAGGTAAAATTAGAGTTAAATGTTTGTATCTCTTGACATCACTAAGCTTTAGTCTCTTCATATGTGAAACAGGGAGATAGAAAGAGGTGGATTAAATAACTGTTATATTTTCCTTCAGCTAGAGGATTATGTCACTCTCCTACCCCAAACATTTCAAAGCATTCCCTGCACACATAGAAAAAAATTAAAAATTCTCATCATAGATTTTAACACTAGACATGTTTTGGCCCATACCTCCCTCTGTGATTTCATTGTGTACTACTCTCCTCACTTACCTCTCACTCATCAGCTGCACTAATCTTCCTCTGCCATGAACATACCTAGTTTATTCCCTACTTGGGACTCTGAACTTGTATCCTTTTCCTAGGTGGCACCTCCTTAGAGAGGCCTTCCCCCACTACCATATTTAAAGTAGCCATCCGGTCACTCTGTATCAGATCACCCTAATTTATTTTCATCCTAAAACCAGATCTAAATCCTTTATCAACCTCATGCATTGTTTCATGAATTAAAGGGTAAGGTCCAAGAGGGCAAAGTTTTAAATCTGTTTTACCATATCTACTGTGCCTACAAACATGCGTGTCACTTTGAAGGTGTTCAGTAAGTGATGGCTGAATTAATGAACAACTGCAGAAAATAAGATGTGATTGTGAAAGACGTCAGTATGGTGATTACCAGACAGAAAGGGGCTGGAAGCAAGTAGAAAAGGGTATAAGGGTGATAAATGGTGATGGAAGGAGATGTGACTTGGGATGGAGAACACATATTAGAATATACAAATGATGTATTATAGAAGTGTACACCTGCCCTGGCAGTATGGCTCAGTGGCTGAGGATTGACCCACGCAACAAGAGGTCACTGGTTTGATTCCTGGTCAGGGCAAGTCTGGATTGCTGGTTCAGCCCCCAGTGGGGGAGTTCAGGAGACAGCTGATTGATGCTTCTCTCTCCTCAATGTTTCTTTCTCTCCCTCTCCCTCCCTCTCTCTCTAAAAATCAATAAAAATATTTAAAAATATATAAAAAAGAAGTGTACCTGAAACCTAATTTTATTAACTAATGTCACCCCAATAAATTTAATAAAAATATATTTATAAAAATGAGTATGAAGAAAACAACTATTGGCTGTCTGCTCCAAGACTTTTTGTCCCCAACTGCAGCCTAAATTTAACATCACCTCCAGGTTCTGGGACCAACAGGGAAAAA